GTTTGCTTGTTTTAATTGTATTCTATTTTCGTCACACGTTTTATATCGCATATGTTTTATATCGCCATCAATATCCTGTTTTTTGGCTGTCGTCGCTTCGGCTTATGCGAAAGCTATACATGCTGTGTATATCTACATTGCAATGATGCCAACGCGGAGAAGCTTCTAATAATAATAATAATAATAATAATTTCACTCAACTCGTGGTCCATGACCAATTGGCACGCAAAGTGGGAGAGAGGGGTGATAGCCAACCACGGCAACTTGGAGTCCCTCCTGTGTGCATGTACATTGTAGCTATCGTTTCTTGGCTTCGAAGATTGCCACGTACACAGGTACAATCTCTCACCTGTCCATGTAGCAAATCCATGACCATGCTCGCATGGTTATAATACTCTGGCCAGGGCTTGGGAATGATCAGTCTCATCGATCATCGGAGTCAGAAACGCAACCGTGCACGACATTGTAAGCTGAACCAAACGCAGCAATTTTTAGAGTCACATGTGTGTAGGTAGATAAAGCACCCATGGACTAGGATGCTACTATACTACTATCGGTAGATCTACACTGCACACTACAGTACTACATGTGTAGTCTTCTTCCCTTGCCCTTGTAAGTAATTGTACTAGTAGTACAGTAGGCGAGACGAGTGGCTACAGCGTCCAGTTGCCTGTGCATATGGACTGTGCATAATTATGGACTGGTGTTGCCGTCCCCGATCAGTTTCTTTTTACATGTATCTTTTTTTTCTTTTTTTACAAGATAGCAGCCACAAACCATCATGGTGCAAATGCCGGCAATAACGCACAGGGCCAGGGATACACGTAGCGATGGCAGCCGAAGCTGTGGAGACGCCTGTGCATGTGGTGCTGCATGCTGCCGCCGCCTCGATCAGCGCTGTCGCTGGGCCCGTCGGGGTGCCTATGACATTTCCACCGTGCAGCTGTCACCGCCTTCATGTATAATTAACTAAGACCGCAAAGCCAGCACGCATTCACGCAGGGCACAGAGGCGACTCCACGTCATTTTGCGCACCTGCAGACAGTACGTACACAAAGGCAGAAGAGTCAGTTGTCTGAGGATTGCCTTAGCTTTGCAATGTGCATGAAACGCAGCGTTACAACAATGACCTAGCCGGCTGTCTCTGTTCTCTTCTGCCTTTGTGGTAATGCTCCATCCTTGTGGTGTCGAGCACTCTAGGCAATCTGGGAACTCTCGCTATTCTGGCAGACTGGGTCTGTACAAGCATGTTATTGTATGACGATCGGGCTCAACGAGTACTGTGAGGACTTGGGTATCATGCCAGCTGTATTTGTGATACTTGTCTTGTGCAGTTGTGGAGCCCCAACCCATGGTCCTGGGGAGTATCCAGTGAGAGGCCACGGGACGGAGTACATGTATAGTCGATTGCCATTACATTTTGAAAGTACATTTTTTTATTTACTTGAAAAAGCACATAACCACCAGGAAAGCTGACAAAGGAAAAAGAGTAAGAAAAGACAGATAAAAAGAGAGCTGAGAGAGAGAGAGAGCTGGGGTACGGTTAGGGGAGGACGAGACATTGAATGGTGGTCGCCACAGTCACAGATAGTAGCAGTGCTGGTGAGGCTACAGGCACTCCACTGACCATTAGGTCTCAGTATCGCCATGCCGGTAACGCACCAAGAGACAAAACGGAAGAAAATCTGAAGCGCAATACATGAATGGTAATCACAATATAGGTAATAGGGAGGGTGGTGACCAAGAGAGGACAGTATAGACCGTTAGTATGGGGTGCTTCAATGCACATCCCCAAACCAAGAGGTGCGATCTGGAAAGAACAGTGAGATGATCAACATTATGGGCTTCAAAGCACGTCCCAAGACCATGGCTGGTCTGAGATGTGTTTTTTGACACCTTTTTTTAAAGCTGTGAGTGGAGAGTGATTGGCCAGACGGGGAAAGACGTCCTCGGGGAGGCTGTTCCACAATTCAAGGAAACAGTACGGGAAGGAACGTCGAAAGTAATCGGGACTGGTGCCGGGGGTGGTGTTTAAGAGCTGTTCCCGGTGCTGGCGCTGAGCATAATGCTGCTGGCGGGTTCGAACAGTATCGGCCCGTGGTTTTGGGGGAGGGCGCATGCGTGTCAGACGGGGTGGGCCCTTGCAGTTAACTACCTTGTAGAGATAGGGCAGCCCTGCGACCGTCCGTCTGGCCCACAGACTCTGGAGGACGGTGGTGGGTCCAATCATCTGCATGGCCTTGCGCTGTGCTGTGTCCAACTTCCCAAGGTGGGTCTGGGCAGCACCAAGCCAGGCTAGTGGGGCATACTCAAGTATGGGCCTTACAAAGCCCTTATAGACGGTTAGGCGTCCAGCAGCGTCCAGGATGGGGGTTGCCTTCCGCATGAAATGGAGGCGTTGATGTGCGCGCACAGAAAGCTGGTGGAGGTGGGCGCTGAAGTTGAGCTTCTCGTCGAACACCACCCCAAGGAGCTTCAACTGGCTGCTGACAGGAACAGGGGTGCCAAGGAATTGGGCAGGGGGGAAGTCTGGAGGGGCCAGCTTCCTGGTCACGGACATCAGCTGTGACTTAGAGGGCTCAAAGGTAACCCTCCAAGTACTTCCCCAGGCTTCCAGCTGGTTTACGGCTGTCTGAAGTGCAGCTGCGGCGGCCTATGTGGTCTGTCCAGGCATGACAGACGTATAACGTAGTATCATCAGCATACACGGCAATGGAGACGCTGGCAGGTAGCTGATCTTCGGGGTTGTTTATGTATACTAGAAACAATGTGGGCCCTAGGATGCTGCCCTGAGGGACGCCTGACCGGATGGTAGAGGAGGTAGAGGTTTGTCCCCCAACAACAGCTTGCAGTTTCCGGTTCTGGAGGTACGATGTTAACCAGGCCAGCAGTTGCCCACCAATGCCATAGCCTCGGAGCTTGCAGAGGAGCCCAGGGTGTGAAACCCGGTCAAACGCGCCTGCTATGTCTATGGCGAGGGTCTGAATGGTTCCGCCCTTACTGGTGGTTAAAGCCCATTCATGCTGGAGTGACGTTAGTAGGTCAGCTGTTCCGATTGATTTCCGAAAGCCAAACTGGTTGGCAGACAGGAGGGTATTGCTGTTGAGATGGTTGATGAGCTGCTGGTTGACTATTCTTTCCATCACCTTGGATACTATACAGAGCAAGGAGACTGGTCGATAATTACGGACATCGCCCTCGCCCTTGGCCTTGCGCTTGTGGATGGGAACCACATTGGCTACCTTCCAGGCTGTAGGCTGGTAACCATGGGAGAGACAAGACGAGAACAGCCGCGACAACGGCTTTGAGAGCTCAGACGCACACTCCTTTAGAACGCGGCAGGAAATGGAGTCTGGCCCGGACGCTTTGGATAATTCAAGACACCGGAGCTGCTTGAGCACTGCTGATTCCCAGAAACGGATTTGACTCAGGATGGCGTCAGTGCGTGGTGGGAAAGGCGGGAGTGTATCTTCAGTGAGATCGTTTGGGATGCTGCACTTCTCTGCGAAGAATGATGCGAAACAGTCAGCCTTGGAGGAGGCCGTGGTACATTGCTGACCTTCGGCCCCCTTTAGGCCAGGAATATCAGATGTGCGGGATAGACCTCCTGCACGCTTCATGTTTGACCACCATGCTTTGTCACGTAGGTTTCCATTCGACAGCTTGTTCCGCAATGAGGATACATGAGCCTGCTGCGCTGCATGGAGCACAGTGGCAACTCTCAGGCTGGTTGCAGTGTAGGTATCAGACAATTGCAGATCAGTTGGGTGTGCACGGGTGTGTCGCCAAGCACGGTTTCTTGCAGACACAGCTGTACTACATTCAGGAGTCCACCAGACAGGGTCACATGTATGGAAAACGATGTTTCCTCGATGCTATCGCTGCTACTATTAGTATTTTAAATTCTTCTTGATACCTAGAAAACCGTGACGTGTGCATCAAACGCCTTCTGCTCGTCTTTGCACGCAACAGGGGCGTCCTTGCTCGTCAAAGCAGAGGCGCGCTCCCACTCCCAGCATTCTCAGGCTAATCTTTGGTCTGCCGCCGTGGACACCGACCACATCGCTATTCCACCAGCTACACCAGTGGCCTCCCCAACTCTAGAGGAAACGTTCCGCGCTAAGATCCTGGTGTTTGTTCGTAGGTGCTTGTGATTCTCACCATTGACATAATGAAGATGCCTTGCGATTCTGTTGCCGCAGAAACACCACCAACGGTTGCTGAGATATGGGACGCGAAACTGGCAGCAACAACACTCAACAGCAGGAGCAGCAACAACAGCAGCAGCAGCAGCAGCAGCAGCAGCAGTCGCAACAACAAGAACAACGGAGCAGAGGGTTTGTTGGAATGGGTGCTCAAAGCTGGGTCATGTCCGCCGCTCATCGCATGATCCTATACTGGCTATAGCAAACTTCTTTCACCCTGCACGGGCGCATCTGCAGGACTGGTAGAGGTACATGTACTTGACATGTACATGACTTCCAGGGAGTAGTAAAATACCGGTATTTTTTCGAGGCGCGCGTGACACAGAAGCATGATGTTGAAGTAGAAGTATGTTTTGGATAGAAGCATGGTTTGAACCCCGGCTTATACGGCCGTATACACCTGCTTTTATACGCGGCATTATGTCTACGTGTACATGTACGCGCAAAATGCAAAAACGCGTAGGATGGGCTTTCAGAACTTCCATTTCTGAAGTACCGGCAATTGGTGCGGTTTGGGCCACACCGGTTCCGACCTCCCAGTAAGGGCTTATTGCAAAAGCTTTGACGTCCCTGAAACCAGGGGAGGGGGGGGGGGGGCACAAAAGCAAGTCGACCGATTTTCGTCGTTCAGCATAGCAAACTGCGTTCATTTCGGAGGGTGGGGAGGGGGTCCGAGAACGAAATGAACGATGGTCGTTTCAGGGATGACAAAAACGTTACTTGAGCGACGGCCCCTCAGGGAACCCTACATAGTCACAGTATACTCAACATGTCAACCACAATAAGTAGCAGCAATGATGCCTTTAATAGTTTTTAAAAGGCTTTTCAAGTACATGTACAGGTATGTAATGCTGAAGGCAGATCAATAGAATCAGCGGGAAATAAAAGAAGCAATAGGCGAATGTGCAACAGAAATCGGTCACACTGGTAAACAAAAAACTAGAGATCATTCTCATCTGACATGTACTTGTATTCTACAGTGCGGCTCAATGAAATCCAGTCGCGTCACTCAAGTTTGCGCCGTGCACTATTTCGCAGCCCAGTGTTCGCAGGTCCAGGGCCGCGCAGCGCACGGCGCGTACTTGAGTGACGCGACTGGATCTCATTGAGCAGTACAGTGCTTATAATACAGCTATTAAAACAAAAATAGGCTGTCCTGGGCCAAGAGAAGAAGGCAAAGATCTTATATATAAAAGCCGTTGCTAATTTACAGTGAAAGCAAACACAGAGAGGCCTTGAATAGACCGCATGAGCAAGATGAGAGCATCCGAGCAACATTGGGGGGTTAAAAATAAAGAAAATAAATAAATTATCGGTGCGGACACCACACGCACACATGCCCACACATATGCACACATACGCATGCACGACCAGTACTATGCCATGTGGTGAAGCAGCGCTGGTGGTGCTGGGGTGGGGGCACGGTAGATCATGCCAATGTCCGCTGCTAGGACGAGATCGAACACTCGTTCGCTTTAAAATCGGCATACGAAAGAGTGTTATGATTGTAATTCGGGCAGAACCAGAACCCTGTGCACCAGCTCCTCCTAGCCATACACTACTAACACACTAAATGTAATGGAAGTGCCAACACAAGCAGCCGCGGACATTTCCAAAGTCCTTGCACACCCGAAACCAATGTTTCACTTCACGACACGCAAGAGAAGTCCAAGCGTGGTGGTCAACGTCGTGATGAGTGACAAGAACAACCAGGATGGTGACAAGCAGGAAGTAGTAAAATACCGGCAGTTAACTACTCCCGGTGACAAGCGTCAAGCTGACCGGTACAGACCAGGCCATCGCCGCACGCAAAGCAACCGTTTTGCCGGGACTTACGTACTTGAACGTACACTCATAAGTATGTGTAGCTGGAACACTCTGAAGTTAGTTGTGCGGCAGAGAAGTGCTGCCACTTGTCAGTTCCTGCACAGACTACGTGACAAATTAGTACTTGGTACCTGCACAACACAAGAGTGTGGTCACAAACATTGCTCGCCGGCAAAGTATTCGAACATGTGAAGTGAGTCACGGCACAAAGTCACTCAACATCTACCAGAAGAGCTGCCAGTGTCTGCACAGACTATGCAACAGGCTAGTACTAGGTAGCCACAAATAACACAAGAGCTCGGTCACAAACATTGCTCATCGGCAAAAAATTCGAACAAATAGAGCGGGATACGGCACATAGCCGGCCAACGTCCACCGGAAGAGCAGCAGCAGCAGCCAGCAGTAGCAGGAGCAGTAGCAGCAGCAGCAGAAACAGCAGCAGCAGCAGCAGCAGCAGCAGCAGCAGTAGCAGCAGCAGTAGTAGCAGCAGCAGTAGTAGCAGCAGCAGCCAGCAAGTGGTGTGCGGAGATGATTACGGCATACTGTGTACTGAACACCAGATATCTCCGCGGTACGGTGACGACAAATAACTACCGGTGCTCGGTCTCTCACACTGCCAAGTCAGCACACAGCAGCACCCACACTGGCCACTGATCACCGGTGCGTGTAGAAGGTTATGGCGTGATTGAGTCGCGACGAACGTCTCAGTTGCTGACATCGCCAAGTTTTCAAAGGACGTACATCATGTACACAGCTGCTAGTACATGGAGCAGGTTAAAGCAGGTGCATGCATATCATAGAGTATGTATATTACAGGCAGCAACAACTGGCCGTATGTCTGCTAGAAGTACTGAGTCTGGAGCTGCACTCAGCAGCCAGCGCCATAAAATCAGACACAGTAGGTCGGCATCGAGTACGATAACAGTCATAACCAGGCACATGCACACGCAGAGAAAGCATCCAGTGGTATAACCTGACGCAGGCACACGCAGAGAAAGCATCCAGTGGTATAACCTGACGCAGGCACACGCAGAGAAAGCATCCAGTGGTATAACCTGACGCAGGCACACGCAGAGAAAGCATCCAGTGCTATAACCTGACACATGCACACGCAGAGAAAGCATCCAGTGCTATAACCTGACACATGCACACGCAGAGAAAGCATCCAGTGGTATAACCTGACGCAGGCACATGCAGAGTCAGCATAGAACGTGCCATAAAGCCAGACACAACGGGTCACTAGCATGCAGAGTCGGCATCGAGTAGAATACAGCCAGACACAGTCTCACGCAGAGTAAGCATCCAGCGCCATACGACCAGATACACCAGGTCATCAATACTCAGAGTCAGCATCCAGTACCACACAATCAGACAGAGTGGGTCACACAAACGCACAGAGCCAGTACCCAGTGGCATACAACCAGATACAGCTGGTCACAAGCACCAAGAGTGCCACACGACCAGACACAACGGGTCACTAATACTCAGAGTCGGCATCCCGTTACTCCAGTACCACACAAACCAGACTAGAACATGCAGAGCCAGCCAGCATCCAGTGGCATACAACCAGATACAACGCCTCACAAGCACGCAGAGTCGGCACAGTAACCCTGCCGGGCTCTTTCTTCAGCAAATACACGACAAGAGCATGTCGCCAAGTACATGTACGAAACACAGCAGACGGCAGCAGCAGCGTGTATTGCAACACCAGCTAGTTAACGACGCCGGCCGTTGACAACGCGATGCGGAAGACCCTACTAGTGAACACCGAACACACTAGACTGAATGTTGCCGACGCACTAACACGGCATTGGTGTACATGTATGTGCACGTGCGGCATTGGTGTATGTGCACGTGTGGCAGCAGACAGGCTGACACGCCACTCGATACGCAGTCTGACACGCCACTCGATACGCAGTGCCAGCATCCAGACATCCCACCGACCGCACGTCCCTCTCGGCGATCAGCAAGACAAGCGAGAGAAAGACAACGTGCTGCACGACCGCATGTTCCTCTCGGCAGTCGGCACGACAAGCGAGAGAAAGACAACACGCTGCAAGACCATACATCCCTCTCGGCAATCAGCAAGACAAGTCGGAGAAGGGCAACGTGCTGTAGAGCTTGTTGTTTGAAAGCACCGGTCGCACCACAGTACACTAGCCGAGGATATCAAGCTGGAACCCAACTGAGGACTGTAGGAATACACCATACCAGGTAACTACTCTTTCGCTGTCCTTGTCACCTCCAAACAAATATGATCTGTATCCATGCGAGGTACACAGCGGTTGCCATCCTTGCCACCCGTGCAATGACACGTGACGAGGTGCGCGTAGAGTAACTGCAAGCTATGCGGTAACAGGGGTCACGCGGCCTGCTCCACCACCGCTGCTATGTCAGAAACGCCACACGACTTCAGTACGGGTCGTCCGGCGTCCACTGGCTTTCCGCGGGCCACGGCTCGTGCAGCGACAGCGTGGCGATGCTGGGCAGAGAAACGCTGTAGAGGCCACGGTCGTACGCGTAGCCGGCATTTACCACCGGGTCCTGCTGCCACTCAATGCCGAGCTCCTCGTAGTTCTTGGTGCCCGAGATCATGTGGAAGCCGGACTGGAGGGCGCTGTGGCGCGGATGCAGCACCACCATGCGCGCGCGACGCCGCTCGACACTCGCCGCCACCGCCACGCCATCGCCCTCGTGCTGCGTCGGCGTCGGCTGCCAGTAGCAGTCCTTGAAGGCCACCTGCGGGGGCGCGTGTCGGAACACGCAGCCGTGCAGGCCCACGTCCGACGCTCTCAATGTGTAGTCTCGCAGATCGCCCGGCAAGTCAATGTTCTCCACGTAGTCCCCATCGAGCTCAGCTGGCTTGCCAAACAGTCCACCGTGGTACCCCGCACCGATGGATGCCACGGGACCATCCTCCGCATCTAAGCAATCATCGCGAACATCGTCACCGTAATTCGCTTCAAGTTCAACAAATTGCCATGTTGCAATGTCGTCGTCCGCCGAAAAATCCGTATCGTTTACATCACGCGACGACGCAGCAGTAGCAGCATGCCAAGCTGCGTCATCATCAACCGCAACACCGGGCTGCTCTGGCGCGGCCTGCTGCAATCGGCGCTGCTCCTTGGCGTACGCCTGGGCGTGGGAATCGCGCAGCGTCACTTGTGTATCACCCCGCAACGGCGATGGCGATGGAGCGGCGGCGCCAGCAGTCGGGGCCTGTGCGGTGGCCGAAGGCGCGTCAAACGAGCCGCCGTGCCCGTCCTCGAGCTGCCCATCGCTGACCAAACCGCGGTTTGGCGCTCGGCTCCGCTGATCATGCAGCGCCTGCGTCTTCCATCGACTCGGCAAGCCGAGGGAGTTGCGCGAGACACGGTTGACCTGTACACCCTCGGGCAGCTCGTCGAAGAACGGATTGCTGCTCATGTCGAGCTCCCTCAGTGACGACATGCTGGACAGAACGTCCGGATACTGCTGAAGGTTGTTCTTAAACAAGTCTAGGGTGTGCAGGGAGGACATGTTTGCCATAGTAACGGGCAGACTGGATATTTGATTGTCATCCAGATACAGCTCTTGCAGGCACGGAAGCAAGCCAAAATTCTCCGGGAGCACCGTTAGCCGATTGCGCGAGAGCTTCAATAAAGAGAGCGACGACAGGTTGTGAAACGAGTTGGGCAGACTGGCCACCAGGGAGTTTGTGAAGTCGGCATGCTCTAGCAAACTGAGCGAACCGAACGACTCCGGCAGCCTGTGAAGTCGCGTTTCGTGCGCCTCCAGCCGCTCTAGACTCTGCAGCTCGCCGAAACTCTCGGGCAGCTCCTCAATCCAGTTGCCATTGTCGTAGCCCCATCGGTCAATCTCAGATATAACACTCCCCAGATGAAGGTATCGGAGATTCTTGAGTTGGCCGAGCGACTGTGGGAGACGGTCGACGGAGTTCTCTCCCAACAGTAAGCGCTCCAGCGACTGGCAGCGCACCGCAAACGCCTCGCTGAACGGGCACCCGAGCGTCCGATTCGACGCGATGTTGATCTCTTCGGCGGCCGACAGCGTGTCCAGCCAGCGCGGCATCTCGCGAATGTGATTGTTGTTGATGTGCAGCACGCGCAGGCTGCCACTACTCGCCGTTGACGACATCACCGTCTCCAGTTGGTTGTGGCTGACGTCGAGGCAGCACAGCCGCGCCAGGTCGTCAATGCTTGCCGGCAGCTCCTTTAGGCGACCGTGACTCAAGTCCACTGCCTCCAAGCTACTCAGGTTGCCGAACTGCTCTGGTAACGAGCACATCCTGTGATGGCTAATCTGAACACGTCGCAGCTTTCCCAGAGAGCAAAACGACTTGGGAAATGTCTCCAGGCCATTTTCGTCCGCGATGAATTCTTCCAAGCACTGCAATCCGAACCCGAATTTTTCCGGCAGCGTCACAATATCATTTCCCACCAAGCTGAGTAACTTCAGCTTGTGCAGGTCACACAACGCATCTGGCAGCGATGTCAACTGATTCTCGTCCACGCGTAGAGTTTCCAAGGCCGGCAGTGACGCCACGGCCTCCGACAGGCTTTTCAAATCATTTCCGCAGATGTTCAGCTCAGTCAGGCTGGGAAACCTCGCGCTGAGCGCTGTGGGGAATTGTACAAATTCGTTGAAGTCCAAATTCAATCTCTGAGTCTGAGTTGAACTGACTGTATCGTCTTCGGGCAGCTTGCAAAGCTCCAGCGAGCTCCAATCTACAAACGAAGACTCCATTGCAGCATGGCCATTGTTCTACAAATACAATGCAGATGAATGACAGGAGCTTTTTCAAGTTTTTGTTGTGATGTTTCACCACTCACGTCATGTCATCGTACATATCGCGTGCTGCTGTGTCTTTCAAAAATGGAGAGCTTTCCCACGCGTGCCCATAACAACAGCAAGAAAATGCCTTTACTCGAGAACTCGTACCGTAGAAAACATACGGTACGTGATCTACCGTATTATTTTGTTCAAGGAAAATTTAATATCGATTTTTCACTTTGTTGTTTATCCGATCGAAGGCTTTCCGACTTGTTATCGCTGCTGCCAAAATGCGCTACGCCCAGCTCGTAATGGGGCCAGCCGGGTCGGGAAAGGTAAGAAAGACATGGCCATCTGCTTACGACTGCCTACTGTTCTTGCTTTGCGCTCCAACAAATTATTTATCTGCATCAAAATTCAAATAAAAACTCAAATGGAGAGCCAATGAATCTACGTGCGAAAGCGAATCGGTGATGTGGAGGCAAGAGCTTTTCTTTGTAGTGATAAATAGTATCAGGGAGGTGGACATTGAACGCTGAGGTAACAAAACATAATGAATCTAGCAATTTCCTCGATTCGGATCGATTTGGAAATTCTCGATTCATTGTTGCCAGTATAATTTCGTGACCTCAACGTTCAGTGTACGCCTCCCTGATGCTAGCAAGAGTATATAAGACCCCAAGAGTGTGCAACTCCTAATACCTTTTCTATGGGGAACGCCAACGGCGAAAACTCACATCGCGTGAAGTTGTGTTCCAGTTGTCCGTTTCCAGCCCATTTTTAGCGAGCAATGATTAATAATAAAATCACTCCCTGGCAGAAACTCACTGCGCGTTTGCAACTCGCCAGCATAATCATGGCAGATTTTTGGATTGCACGCACTCGATCCTTAGTTGTATGCAGTACAAAACGTGCCTGAGACACGTGATGTGAGTTTTCGCCGTCGGAGACCCCATATGCAGAGTTGCACACTCTTGGGGGCTTATAATTAGACTCTTGATACTAAAGTGAAACCTGTCTAGGACGACTGCCCAAAGGACCTTCATAACGTGGTCTCTGTTACCAGGCGGTCTCCTTATCCAGGGTCATTTGAGTAGAAATAGCATCCCTTGGTCCTGGTAGCAGTGGTCTTCTGGGACAAGTGGTCTCCTTATCCGAGTGGTCGCCTTGACAGGTTTAACTGTATACTCTTGGTAGTAGCAAGAGTACATAAACCAGAGTGTGCAACTGTGCATATCAGATCTGAAACAGCGCAGTTCGTGCACTACGTCACCCTGATGAGGTCAGCCAAGCCGCGACTTGCGTACAGCTCAAATTTTCATGTTTCATAGCCCGGAAATCAGCCAAGTTTGCTTGATTTTAGACGTCCAGTTTCAGGATTTCGGGGTTTTGTGTGACTGTGTACGCTGCTGCGTACATCCACCGACAAGTAAAGTCACCAGGCTATCCGTATCAAAAAACCGAAATCAGGACAAACTCAGTGACCTGCACCACCGCGACTGGTTACGCAACTTTTCACCGTACCTGTGGCTTACCATGCCGTCAGAAATGACGTACTGCACGAATTACGCTCCCACAGGAACCATCTCGAGTTGCACACTCTGGTTTATGTACTCTTGATACTACTGTTAAGCGATAAACTTTCGCGGCACGCAAATTTTGCGTTTCCTGAATTGGACTGGTTCGCGATGAGGAACTTTAGCGATTTATCTCTTCAGTTGGATCTTGTACTGTCTATAATCAATGTAAAGAGCAGCTTGCGGCGATTTATATTCGCGAATGTGTGCGATGGGCGCGAAAATAGCGAAATTTATTCTCTAGCGAAAATTTCTCACTTCACAGTATTCATCGCACTAAATACGAGGAGGACGAACAATTTATTGATTTATAGAGGCTACGCTAAATCATGTTGTCACCTTTTGAAGTGGTGTTTATGGAATGGCATCGCAAGCACCTATTTGCCACTCTATACGCAACGTGTAGATGTAGTACAGTGTGATATGCAGAGCCTGGTTTCGCAGCATCTTGGCTGATAAGGTGGTGGACAGCTACAGTAGTCGCGCGCCCAAGAACGTTGTTTCCAGGGGGTTAGCCTGGGCCGTTCTTATTTTTTCAGCAATCTGGCTGTGTTCTTAAAACACGTTCTAAGATACAATCCATACTGAATCGTATATATTCCACAAGCTCTCAGAAAACCAACACCGCCGTTCTTAACTTTAGGCTGTGGCGTTCTTAGTATTTCAGGCTGGACGTTCTTGGGCTCCACGTTCTTCAGCGCGCTACTCTACTGTACGCGTTAACTCGCCAACTGCTGTTAGTCCAGGGCCCAAATCCATTGCGTTTGTTCGAATAACGTTCCTTTCGCATCACCATCAATACTCGCAAATGGTTTTTCAATTGTTATACTGTAAAGTCTACAAATGTTCAGCCTCCGAGAGCTAAAACACATTTCGGCCGCATCACAATTTCAGCCTTAAAAAGTGAATGAACCGTATGCGAAATAGTGAAGGTGAACGAAGTGAATTGGCGTTGTGGAACTAGCGTGATTCTGCAGCAAGCAAGAACATGGCCCCTGTGTCAAAAGTTTAAACAACCACTGAAATATGTGGCTGCTAGAAATGCTATGAGGATGGCTGATGATTTTTTGCCAGGTACGTGTGTGTATGTAAGATGTTTTAGATTTCCTAAAAGCAACTTGTGTTTTGTGTGTGCGTGTGTGTGTGCGTGTGTGTGTGCGTGCGTGTGTGTGCGTGCGTGCGTGTGTGTGCGCGCGCATGTGTGTAATTTGGTGAACACGCCATCATGCGCGCAGAGTACATACTGCAGTGTGATGCAGCAGCACTGCCAGAACATGAATCGCACCGTGCACGTCATCAACCTGGACCCAGCGGCTGAGCACTTTGAGTATCCCATAACTGCCGGTGAGTGTTGACATGGCATCCCAGCCTGAAATTATCTACAGTCCTGTTTTTATTTTTTCTCTTTTACGTTTACTTTATACCAGGCGTGGGCCATCCCCTGTACATAGGTGCATGCCACCATTTTTCTTCGTTTCAATAAAAAAGTTTAACATTGTAAAAAGAAAGAAAAAAACTACAGTCCTGTAGAAAGTCTAATTTTTAGCGGGTAAAACGTTAGCGTTTTCTGAATCCGGACCAATTCGTGATTAAATATGAATTTCTAACTCCCTACTAGTAACCGTTGATTTGTACGAAACACCGTAGAGTGCCTAATCCTCCCCACTTTTGCGGCGCTGGGGTGTCGCTGAAGCCGAGACCTCAGGTCGGCGGAGATGCTCCAGTTTCGCCACCGCAGTTGCGACTGCGGCCACCTCTATCAAGCAGTATTCTGATCTTGAGGTTCGTGGGTTCTGATAAATAAAAGCACAGTGGCACAGGGTTTCTATTAGGGAGGTTTCGCTCTGCGTAGTTACGGAGGAAAATAACGTAGGGACTGCACGTAATTTTCGTAGGTAAACATCAGCGCGGTTGGGTTTCTGTCTGCATGATTTATCCATGACTGCTGAGCACGCCTTCTTGCGTTTGAGACGCATCGGGTGAATGCGCCCACGAACAGAAACCACGTGACGTGTACCTTGTGTTTCGCCCGGCTTCAACGTTGCCGTAGATAAATCCGGAGAATATTTCAAAAAGTCCTACGGAGGACCGAACGTAGAAAAGAGCTTTTCCACGGAAATTCGTAGAGAGATTTACGTACTTCAAAGTATAGGAATGATTGGTTGTCTCTAAGAACGTTATCTTGTAATGGTCATCAGAGTTATCAGAATTACAGTGAAACCTGTCGACCGCTCAAGGGACCTTCAAAACGTGGTCTCTCTTACCAGGTGGTCTACTTATCCAGGGTCGTTTGTGGAAATAGCAGCCCTTGGTCCTGGTTTCAGTGGTCGTTAAGGACAGGTGGTCTCCTTATCCAAGTGGTCGCCTTGACAGGTGCTACTATATGTACACAAAAAAAACAAGAAACACAGAAAAGCCACGCGCCGTAGATGGTCGTCGTTTCGAAAGAGCAATCCTTCTCGTTTATTTCAATTTTTCTGCCAACGAGAAGCATTCACTTGCACTGAAGTGAAGAGGGGGGGGGGGGTTGAACCTTTGCTGGTTTTCCGTGGAGCCAAAAAACCACGGTTTGTGTGAGACTTGAAACAAGCAAAACATCCTTCAAATAGTGCACAGGACGTATTTCAACAGGTTGCTGTCGAAATGTATCCGTGTGTTGTTTGTGTGCAGATATCCGGGAACTCGTTCACGTTGAGGACGTGATGGAGGCGGATGATTTGAAGCTGGGACCCAACGGAGCTCTGGTCTTCTGCATGCAGTGAGTATGGTACTACAGTTGCATTCAGGGAAATCCGACACACCGGACAAAGCTGGCGTCCTGGACCAATTCCGACTGCATCATTATTGTACTGTAGTGTCGCGTATAAAAGCATGACCTGTATAGAAGCATGACTCGAATAGAAGCCGATTTTTCGAAGTGCGCTGTGACACAGAAGCATGATTAGAATAGAAGCCGCTCTCTGCAAAGTACATGTGCAAGTACATGCGTGGCAGTACGCACTGTACAGTGTACACTGATGGTGTTGATGTAGAAGCATGTTTTGAATTGAAGCATACTTCGAATACAAGCATGGTTTGAACCCCGGCTTATACGGCCGTAAGCACCTGCTTTTATGCGCGACATTACGGTATGTACATGTGTACGTCCGGCCGCATTCGTACCACTTCCAGGGTGTCAATGGCCGTGCAAGATGAGGGCGCCTAGTATGCACTCTGGGTCGGATTTCATCGTGTGCAACTGTAGATCAAGACTGTCCGTCGAGTGCAGTGCCGATGTGTTGTCTACACGTTATCACGCATCACACCTGTTTGCACTACAGTACGGGCAGCAAATACGCGTGTGTGTGTGTGTGTGTGTGTGTGTGTGTGTGTGTGTGTGTGTGTGTGTGTGTGTGTGTGTGCGTGTGTGTGTGTGTGTAAACCTCGTCGTTCCTTGTTTGCACGGAGTGCTCAATGCCTACGGTGTCGGAGCGTTTCCCACAGGAACACCTGAATGAGGACAACTCAATGTATGTTTCTGCAACAGTCAGACCTCGCATAACCGCACACATCCGTTTTCCACAAAAATATCCATCTTTCCCTCAAACTCAGTGAATATCCGGATAGGCGAGGGAACCGGATAATCGAACACACATACTGTATGTATGCACTGCATATGCTGTAAATCGGTAACCGACGATTTTCTTCCAGATGGCGAGGGATCCGGATAAAAGAGGACCGGATAAGCAAGGTCTGACCGTACTTTAGTTCCATGAGATAAGCAATCATCGGGCAGCCTCAACTGATACCGGTATCAGGCTATCCTGTTCAGGACCGCCGGACACAGTTTCATTGGTCCGGTCCTACCATAGTCTTTCGTACAGTTTGTGTATAATATGGCGGGTACATCTCATATGCCCTCCTCAGCAATAGGGCTTGAAAGTGATGACGTCAAAACGGCCAGGGAGTAGTAAGTTGACATCAGATTTCTATTTTTGGACCCACTAAGGTGTGACTTTGCTATTGCCTATGTATGTGGGTGCATAGCAACCCACTCATGTCGCATGCAGGTGTGACTTTTATTTCGCCGCCAGTTGTAACCCCGCCCCCAGTAGCCAAATCAGTCAGTTTCACTGGCTACATCACCATGCTGTGGGTAAGACCGCTTGAAATGTGCTTGGATCCATACAAAAACTGGATCCAAGTGGATCCAGTTTTTGAATTTTTGAAATTGTTGCTATGCTGTGACGTAGCACTTTCAAGCCCTATAGACATGTGTTGGTAGCTACAAAGTTGGTCCAACCTCACCAGTTCCGGAGAGCCTGCTACTATCCCATTTCTTATGACTCCACTGAATGGATGTCAACAAAAAAGTGTGTTTTTGTGTATGTGTGTGTGTGTGTGTGTGTGCACGTCTGTGTGTGCGTGTGTGTATGTGTGTGTGCATGTGCGTGCGTGCGTACGTGTGTGTGGCTGTCTGTTCCTTGCAGGCATCTGGTTGAGAACTTGGACTGGCTGAAGGAGCAGCTGGGAGAGGGAGAGGATGACTATTTCCTGTTCGACTGTCCTGGTATGTCAACTGCACACCAGCTGGACATATTGGGCGCAATCAACATTTGCCTAACTTCCTCTTGTAATCCCATGCTAGCAGGCACAGCCATGCAAGTCATACATCTTGTGGATATCATGCTTGTAGTGTTGATCCTTGTATGTCCTGTTGTGTTTGCCTCGGGGTTTTCTTTCTTTTTTCTTCTTCTTCCCACCCATGTGCATATACACACACACACACACACACATGCGCGTACACATGTGTGCACACACACACACACACATACACACACACACACACACACATACACACACACACACACACACACACACACACACACACACACACACACACATACACATATACACGCACGCATGATATATACAGTAAAACCTGCTGTCATGGCGATCACTCGGATAAGGCGACCGCCTGTCCAAGAAGACCACTGCAACCAGGACCAAGGAATGCTATTTCCAGTCCAATGACCCTGGATACGGAGACCACCTGGTTACAGAGACCATATTTTGAAGGTCCCTTGAGCGGTCGTCTTAGACAGGTTTCACTGTACATGACTGCTACATGTGTACACACATCCATACAGTTACTTCGAGGCACATACATACAGTTACTTCGAGGCACATCCATACAGTTACTTCGAGGCACATCCATACAGTTACTTCGAGGCACATCCATAGTTACTTCGAGGCACATCCATACTGTTACTTCGAGGCACATACATACAGTTACTTCGAGGCACATCCATACAGTTACTTCGAGGCACATCCATACAGTTACTTCGAGGCACATCCATACTGTTACTTCGAGGCACATCCATACAGTTACTTCGAGGCACATCCATACAGTTACTTCGAGGCACATACATACTGTTACTTCGAGGCACATCCATACAGTTACTTCGAGGCACATCCATACAGTTACTTCGAGGCACATCCATACAGTTACTTCGAGGCACATCCATACTGTTACTTCGAGGCACATCCATACAGTTACTTCGAGGCACATCCATACAGTTACTTCGAGGCACATCCATACAGTTACTTCGAGGCACATCCATACAGTTACTTCGAGGCACATCCATACTGTTACTTCGAGGCACATCCATACAGTTACTTCGAGGCACATCCATACAGTTACTTCGAGGCACATACATACTGTTACTTCGAGGCACATCCATACAGTTACTTCGAGGCACATCCATACAGTTACTTCGAGGCACATCCATACAGTTACTTCGAGGCACATCCATACAGTTACTTCGAGGCACATCCATACAGTTACTTCGAGGCACATCCATACTGTTACTTCGAGGCACATCCATACAGTTACTTCGAGGCACATACATACAGTTACTTCGAGGCACATACATACTGTTACTTCGAGGCACATACATACTGTTACTTCGAGGCACATCCATACAGTTACTTCGAGGCACATACATACAGTTACTTCGAGGCACATCCATACAGTTACTTCGAGGCACATCCATACTGTTACTTCGAGGCACATCCATACTGTTACTTCGAGGCACATCCATACAGTTACTTCGAGGCACATCCATACAGTTACTTCGAGGCACATCCATACAGTTACTTCGAGGCACATCCATACAGTTACTTCGAGGCACATCCATACAGTTACTTCGAGGCACATCCATACAGTTACTTCGAGGCACATCCATACAGTTACTTCGAGGCACATCCATACTGTTACTTCGAGGCACATACATACAGTTACTTCGAGGCACATCCATACAGTTACTTCGAGGCACATCCATACTGTTACTTCGAGGCACATCCATACAGTTACTTCGAGGCACATACATACAGTTACTTCGAGGCACATACATACTGTTACTTCGAGGCACATCCATACAGTTACTTCGAGGCACATACATACTGTTACTTCGAGGCACATACATACTGTTACTTCGAGGCACATACATACTGTTACTTCGAGGCACATACATACAGTTACTTCGAGGCACATACATACTGTTACTTCGAGGCACATCCATACAGTTACTTCGAGGCACATCCATACAGTTACTTCGAGGCACATCCATACAGTTACTTCGAGGCACATACATACTGTTACTTCGAGGCACATACATACAGTTACTTCGAGGCACATACATACAGCTACTTCGAGGCACATACATACAGCTACTTCGAGGCACATCCATACAGTCACTCCTGCAAATACACAGTAGCATTATTCCGCTGTCCAGACAATGCTCAATACCGCAAACTGCGGAGCTTTCTTGCCAAGAGGGTAGAACGAGATCTTATTGCAACTCTCGGGCGAAATACTTCCTGATCCTCAGGCGAAATACTTCCAAGTTCCAACATATCTTTGTGCTTTCTTTGAACCCATGAGGGTGGTGGCGTTCCCACGAATGCAGAAAGCTCAGTCTAATTGAGTACTGTAGAAGCCATTATTCTAACGAGGCGCATACAATTATAACGATTTCCTAAAATTTACTGGTTTACGTGTACCAAAGGTAACGATTCTCACTCATTCTAACGCTCAATAGAACAGTATATATCGATTTCAGTATAACGATTTCTATTTTAACGACAGTTTTCTCCTCGTTAAGTCATTAGAATAACGTGAACCGTGAAATTGTTTGGTGCTTGTGTGATAGGTCAAATCGAGCTCTACACCCACTTGCCCGTCATGAAGCAGCTGGTCAGCGAACTGGAATTGATGGACTTCCGCGTGGCCGGCGTCTTCCTCCTGGACTCCCAGTTCCTCATAGACACGGCCAAGTTCTTCAGCGGCATTCTGGCGGCAATGTCGGCCATGCTCCAGCTGGCCATCCCTCACCATAACATCATGTCCAAGATGGACAAGCTAAGCCCCAGCCAGCAGGCCGATGTCGAGCGCTACCTGGAGCCCAATGCTGAGCTGTTGCTGATGGACCTGCGCCAGACGTCCAATGCCAAGTTTCAACTGCTCAACGAGGCTCTGGCTGGCTTGGTAAGCTGATATGGGGGTGGTGGTGGTGCTGCTGGCGGTGCTGGTGATGCTGCTGCTGGTGGTGGTAGTGCTTGTGGTGGTGGTGGTACTGCTGGTGCTGCTGCTGCTGGTGGTGATGGTGCTGGTGGTAATGGTGGTGCTGGTGCTGCTGCTGGTGGTTATGGTGCTGGTGGTAATGGTGGTGCTGGTGCTGCTGCTGGTGGTTATGGTGGTGGTGCTGCTGGTGGTGCTGCTGGTGCAGGTGGTGGTGGTTATAGTGGTGGTTATGCTGGTGCTGGTGGTGGTTATGCTGCTGCTGGTTATGCTGGTGCTGCTGGTTATGTTGGTGTTGGTACAGGTGCTGGTGTTGATGTTCCAGTTGCTGTTTTTTGTTTGTGCCGTCGGGCCTGCTTGTATTGTTATCATCATTGCCCCCACCCTCGACCTCGTAGTCATCATTGCCACCACCCTCGTAGTCATCATTGCCACCACCCTCGTAGTCATCATTGCCACCACCCTCGTAGTCATCATTGCCACCACCCTCGTAGTCATCATTGCCACCACCCTCGTAGTCATCATTGCCACCACCCTCGTAGTCATCATTGCCACCACCCTCGTAGTCATCATTGCCACCACCCTCGTAGTCATCATTGCCACCACCCTCGTAGTCATCATTGCCACCACCCTCGTAGTCATCATTGCCACCACCCTCGTAGTCATCATTGCCACCACCCTCGTAGTCATCATTGCCACCACCCTCGTAGTCATCATTGCCACCACCCTCGTAGTCATCATTGCCACCACCCTCGTAGTCATCATTGCCACCACCCTCGTAGTCATCATTGCCACCACCCTCGTAGTCATCATTGCCACCACCCTCGTAGTCATCATTGCCACCACCCTCGTAGTCATCATTGCCACCACCCTCGTAGTCATCATTGCCACCACCCTCGTAGTCATCATTGCCACCACCCTCGTAGTCATCATTGCCACCACCCTCGTAGTCATCATTGCCACCACCCTCGTAGTCATCATTGCCACCACCCTCGTAGTCATCATTGCCACCACCCTCGTAGTCATCATTGCCACCACCCTCGTAGTCATCATTGCCACCACCCTCGTAGTCATCATTGCCACCACCCTCGTAGTCATCATTGCCACCACCCTCGTAGTCATCATTGCCACCACCCTCGTAGTCATCATTGCCACCACCCTCGTAGTCATCATTGCCACCACCCTCGTAGTCATCATTGCCACCACCCTCGTAGTCATCATTGCCACCACCCTCGTAGTCATCATTGCCACCACCCTCGTAGTCATCATTGCCACCACCCTCGTAGTCATCATTGCCACCACCCTCGTAGTCATCATTGCCACCACCCTCGTAGTCATCATTGCCACCACCCTCGTAGTCATCATTGCCACCACCCTCGTAGTCATCATTGCCACCACCCTCGTAGTCATCATTGCCACCACCCTCGTAGTCATCATTGCCACCACCCTCGTAGTCATCATTGCCACCACCCTCGTAGTCATCATTGCCACCACCCTCGTAGTCATCATTGCCACCACCCTCGTAGTCATCATTGCCACCACCCTCGTAGTCATCATTGCCACCACCCTCGTAGTCATCATTGCCACCACCCTCGTAGTCATCATTGCCACCACCCTCGTAGTCATCATTGCCACCACCCTCGTAGTCATCATTGTCGCAGTACATGTGTATGTCTGCCCTGGCGTTCTGCTACTCAGATCAGTATTCTGTGGGCGGTAGTGTCACTGGGAAGGATTCTGCCTCCTTTCTGCAGTGCAACATGGGCATCCAACTCTTTGAGGCTGCTTATGCTGATGATGCTGCTGCTGTTGCTGCTGCTGCTGTTGTTTGAATTCTTTTATTCTCACGATGGCCTGTGGCCAATAAGAGATGTTGTTGTTGTTGTTGTTGTTGTTGTTGTTGTTGTTGTTGTTGTTGTTGTTGTTGTTGTTGTTGTTGTTGTTGTTGTTGTTGTTGCTATTGTTGCTATTGTTGCTATTGTTGTTGTTGTTCTAGATTGATACGTCCTGCAATGTCTCCTTTCTTCCTCTGAACATCAACGATGAAGAGAGTATTAGCAATGTAATGCTCTCTGTCGATCTTATTATTCAGTATGGCGAGGACCTGGATGTCAAAGTTCCCGTGGTGAGCGCCGATGTACTCTCATGGTCTGTGTTTGTGTGTCGGGCGTGTGTGTGTGGGGGGGGGGGGGGTGTACGTGTGTGTGTGTGTGTGTGTGTCAGTACCTGCATGTGTGTGTTGTGCACGCACGTGTATGTGTGTGTGTGTGTACATGTGTGTACATGTGTGTGTTTAAATTGCTACAGGAATATACTTGCGCTGCTTCCAATCTGCTTCAGTGTTGTCTGATGATTGGTTGTTAACCCTTTCCATGCCGGGGCCCCTTTTCTCCAATCGGCCGGCTGTCCAGAGCACTGACTCTCTTGGTGTAGTTTGCGCGCACAGCTCTGAATGGAATTTATTCTCATTTCCCTCCACCATGATGGATTTTCATCATCCTGGGCTCGTTGGAAAGATCAGGACCAAGCGAATCCATCATGGTAGATCTCAGCAACATAGACACACCAGGGCCACTTCCACCTCCTCTCCGAACTACTCCACCGTGCCTCGGAACGGCACAACAACTTAATCTCACGTTCTTGTTCGGCATCTTGCCCAAATTCAACCGGTTTTCACGATTAGAACTGCGCTGCAAAGCTGAGATCCAAGCGCTTCATTTGATGTCCATCATGCATGCGTCGTGCCAAAGGGAAATCCCCTAGCACGCTCCAAAAAACTGCGTAGTCATGAACAAAAAAATTCGTGTTCGCTCCGGCCCGTGATTTTGGTGTTCATCCTGTCGCCGCTCAGTGATTCTTTATCCCATCGCGACGAACATTATATCCACGGAAAGATGAGCTCAAGACCTTTCCAACGGTGTATTGATTGTCGCGATGCGTTTATGTTTCACAGAGTTACGATAGTTTGTACACTGGTCTGTGCACTGAACAAAAAAATTCCTGTTCGCGCCGGCCCGTGATTTTGGTGTTCATCCTGTCGCCGCTCAGTGATTCTTTATCCCATCGCGACGAACGTTATATCCACGGAAAGATGAGCTCAAGACCTTTCCAACGGTGTATTGATTGTCGCGATGCGGTTATGTTTCACAGAGTTACGATAGTTTGTACACTGGTCTATGCACTGAACAAAAACATTCGTGTTCGCTCCGGCCCGTGATTTTGGTGTTCATCATGTCGCCGCTCAGTGATTCTTTATCCCATCGCGACGAACGTTATATCCACGGAAAGATGAGCTCCAGACCTTTCCAACGGTGTATTGATTGTCGCGATGCGTTTATGTTTCACAGAGTTACGATAGTTTGTACACTGGTCTATGCACTGCAATGTAACGTGCGCACTACGAGGACGAGATATCTCGTCCTTGGCCAATCGCGTGGGGGTCTGTAGGACGAGTTATCTCGTCCTTGGCACTGAAAGGGTTAAGCCATGAAACTTTGAGTAGCAACAAAAGCCCTTACTTTCCTGTATACCTCTTGTGTGATTGCTACAGGATGCTGAAGAGGATGGTGACGAGGATTGAGAGGTGTAGCTTTGGCCGCGAATGTTGGCACTCAGTTGTCGCATTACGGAGTTGTTGGACCGAGGTAGCCGGAAAACACGCACCACTGCGCCCTTGTGGAAATTATCTTTCCTGCCGTGCAAGACATTGCCGCGCCTGTGTTACAATTCTCTCTCGCCGTGAAAGACATCCCCGCTCTGCCCGTGTAGCAATTCGTTCTCGCCGTGAAAGACATCCCCGCTCCGCCCGTGTTACAATAACTTTTGTTCTCGCCGTGAAAGACATGCCTGCTCAGAGCTGATAACAATTCCCTGTGGCTTTGAAGGAGTAGCAGCCAAAGTCGGCCATGCTATCATGTCATATGCTGTCCTGGCATGGAGCACGCGGGGTCATGGCACCATGAACAAACTGTCCAGCTGTGCGCATGGATGCACCTCTGGGCGTGTAGTGCCATCTCTTCTCTCGACCGTCACACACTACCAGACACAGTCGGAAAGGAGGCCAGTTCTCCACTACGCTGCTGCTGCTGTGTGTGTGTGTGTGCATGCGTATTAGGGTCTGTATCGTATGTGTATGGTAGCCACCATTGACCTGGCACTCAAGCAAGAGTTCGACGCCACTGCAGTCCCTTTCCACGGCGCTGGTACACAGACTCTGGCAGGCAACCGGCGGCTCTAAATACCAACGGATGACATTATTTATGCTCCTGTAGGCTGGTCTCACATCAGCATTGTTCCCATGTCAGTGGAACTCAATGGCTTTTCACAACTGTTTCTCTCTCGCTAGCGAGCATCAGCTGGGGCCATTGCTTGTGATCCCCGCCTCGTAGGCTGCTGTTTTTCTTCCTAGTTGGCTTTCAGTCCATGCTGGTTTGGTTCTCCTTGTGTCCGGTGTAGGCCAATGTACTGTGCCGTAGGTACTAGTAGTCGATGTGCTTGCCCAGCGGACTAAGCTGGTGCTGTTTATTTTTATTTCATTTTTCATTTTTTCCATCTCTTCTTGTTTATTGAAAGAAGGTAACACAGCAGCTCCTTGTTTGGTGGCTTTTCTCGCTGCTTGTTCGCGAGTGGTGAAGCGACGAAATCGTTTGCAACTACTTGTGCAGGCTTGACTCTCGTTTCTTGAGCTCATGGTCACGACTCACAAGTGTGGCAACATCAGGTGGCGTCATGCATGCACTTGCAAGCAGGAAGTACAGTCAGTCCTCGTTTATCCGGAAGAAAATCGTTGGTTACCGATTTACAGCATATGCCATGCACACATACAGTATGTGTGTTCGATTATCCGGTTCCCTCTTCTATCTGGATCTTTTTTCTGGAAAACGGATGTGTGCGGGTTATGCGAGGTCTGACTGTAGTAAACCGCTTTACTACTCGCTGCTTGCAACCAGGAAATCGCACTGCATTGTATCCAGTCATTGTAGCCCTAACACAGGTACAATGTACAGTCGACTCCACTTATAACGGATTCATACACTTATAGCAAATTCTGATGAGGAGCCAGGCCCGAAAATTTGATGTAATGTAAATTTGAATCGCAGTGAAGAGACCGTTTTTGGAGTTTGCAGTTGAGAAGTTTCCTAAATTTGTGAATGGCCGCGTTGGAGTTTGCGGACAATTAGAAGAAATTCAACTGCGTGATAATAATAATAATAATATTATTGCGAACTACTTTGAATGTCGCTGTTTGAATCCATACAAAATTGATCCTTTGTATTTTTATACAAGTAGCTACACATGGTTGATAAATATGGTGGTAAAGACACACCTGGCAATATGGCGGTAAACACACGCCTGCCCACACACGCTCTCTAGGCTGCAAAGTTCTGGCACAGAGCTCTCCTTCTCACCACCACCACCACCATCAGTTCGCGCCTGGCTTCATTCTCCCGAGTAGCTACAAAGACAACTAATTGCACAGTAAGCATTTCATATATGTCGACATGTATGTGTAAAATGTTGTACGATTATCGCAAGGCCCTTAAGGCACACAAGGAAGGGATAATCGTACAACATTTTACACATACATGTCGACATATATGAAAATGCTTACTGTGCAATTAGTTGTCTTTGTAGCTATATTAAAACTGCTGTCTCCGAAACGCTTGTTCACTTTGTATTATTAGTATTATTTATTATTAAAAGCATGTCCGCGTAGGTGGCGGGGGTGCCACTTTCGCTTACCGGTATGCCATTCAGGATTGATGTCTGAAGAGTAATACGATACAATGAAATGACAGAAGTGACGTCAACAAAAGCCGTTAGCAACATTTGTATAACGAACTATTTTTGGCCATCATGTTATATCAGGAGTCGACTGTGCGTAGGATTTGCTACTTTTTTGGCCTCTGCACTATTAGTAATTAGTTCAATTTTTGGCAATGCAGCACATGAACCCTCTTTTTTCTTACAGCAATAATTACAGTAGGGCTGAGTCGGGTAGCATTTTCTTCGGGTATCGGGTTTCGGTAGTTTTCCACGTGCACGGGTAGCAGGGGTACCCTATCGGGTAATGTTTCCATGGAACCACCACAATGCACCCCTTCCCTTACACACTGGGTACCGAGTAGACATGGGGAGCATTGCATGAATTTGTACATGTGCACTGTCACATGATGTCATCTGCGACTTCGGTGTACCCGTCTACCCGAGGTCTTCACGGGTAGCACGGGTACCCGACTACCCGTGCACACCACTAAATTATAGCATAATCACAAGCTGCAGTGCAGTGAGGTTCTGTATATAAATGTGAAACTTCGAGATATCACGCACAGAACAGCTGTCTGGGGTCGACCGATACGGCTTCTCCTGTTTGGGTCCAGATTTCTACCTGCATGGGAGCTCTAGACTAGACGGGTTTAAAGGTTCTTTGGTCGTATTCACACTCACACGCACACACACACACACACACACACACACACACACACACACACACACACACACACACACACACACACACACACACACACACACACACACACACACACACCATTGACCATGTTGACGCCCATCGCCATGCAGAGGCGATGATAGCAATGCTACAGCAGAAGCCATGGCAACTTGTGACACACACACACACACGCACACACACCGAGACGTGCCCATCGCTGAAGCGATGATGGCGAACAAGCTAAGTCAGACATAGCAACAACTTGTGCTTGGATTACTCCATTCAACAGCACACATGCACACCTTGTAGTGTACGATACCATGTGTACAGTACATTTATCACTCCCTTAGTATTGACTCACATAGATTTTTGCCATACCTATTAAAGCGGTCAAATATTCCTGCATATTTCACTCCTTAGGGCTATATTGACCGCTTATATTTGACTCCTTTTTAGCGATTGAACACATGCTTCACATGAAATAAAAGACTTCGTAAAAGACCTCGGCTTCGCCTCGGCCCTTTACTCGGCTTTTATTTCCTATATTGACCTCGTACTCAGTCAATATTAGATACATACGCCGGTCGCAAGAGAAGCAAGGAAATCTGCAAATGCACTGGATGTGCAGCCACGGATCTCCTCTTTATTAGAGCAACGATAGCAGACAGGATCCGAATGAAATACTAAGTACAGTGAAAGCTGTCTAAGACGACCGCTCAAGGGACTTTCAAATCGTGGTCTCTGTAACCAGGTGGTCTCCTTAAAGGGGAAGTTAAGGCAAAAAATAAAATTTCACCAGTTGTAGTCTTCGGGGTGCTGAGTCGAATGGTCTAGGTCCGAGGAAGCTGAGACGCTCCCTTCCTACTTGAATCCCAATCGAACTCGCGCACTTCCACCGAAACTGGGTGACTGCGCCCTACGAGATGGGGATTTGTATGCAAAATGTCACTAAAAGCGCCATTTCGTTCTTATAAAAGCACGGATGACCGCGACTGGCCCATATGTTGTAGTCTTTTGGATGCTGAGTCGACTGGTTTTGGTCCGAAAAGGCTGCGATGCAGCGTTCCTCCTTTATTCCCAATCGAACATGGTCGAACAAGTGGTCACGTGCTCCTGCGTACACCAGTCAGCTGGTCACCGTGCCTGCAGGGTACAACTTACTAGCCTGTTTGACCTTTTTTGGGTGCAGTCCTGTCACTCGAGTTGAACTCGAGTTGAACCTTGGTGTGAAAGTTGTCGCCTGCTGGCGTGGTGACCAGGTGATTTGGGCACCCAGGAGCACGTGACCGCTTGTTCAACCATGTTCGATTGGGAATAAAGGAGGAACGCTGCATCGCAGCCTTTTCGGACCAAAACCAGTCGACTCAGCGTCCAAAAGAGTACAACATATGGGCCAATCGCGGTCATCCGTGCTTTTATAAGAACGAAATGGCGCTTTTAGTGACATTTTGCATACAAATCCCCATCTCGTAGGGCGCAGTCACCCAGTTTCGGTGGAAGTGCGCGAGTTCGATTGGGATTCAAGTAGGAAGGGAGCGTCTCAGCTTCCTCGGACCTAGACCATTCGACTCAGCACCCCGAAGACTACAACTGGTGAAATTTTATTTTTTGCCTTAACTTCCCCTTTAACCAGGGTCATTTGAGTGGAATAGCATCCCTTGGTCGTGGTTCCAGTGGTCTACTTGGACAGGTGGCCGCCTTTTCCGAGTGGTCGCCTTGACAGGTTTTACTGTAGATCAAGACTAGCGCCAGACACTAAAATGCCTAATCCGCACAACTGGTGAAGCTACGTATGCGAATCGACACACACACGCATACACACACCACCACCACCATACACACACACACACACACACACACACACACACACACACACACACACACACACACACACACACACACACACTACTACTAGTACTACAGCATGACTGCCCATTGGGCAATGTCACGCCCGGAGGGGGCCAGAGTTTGGAGGGCCCCGTCATTGGCAGGACTTCTGGTGCCTTGTCAAGTCTTGCCGCGTGTCGTCGGAAACGCTTTGGGCAGTGCATGCAGATCAGCGGCAGTGATTCCCTATCGGCTGCAGCAAGAAGTTTTCCACGGTTGCAGTTATGGCGGTTAAAACCAGCCCGGGACTTGAAGCAGCGACTGAAGCGGTGACCATGCTGAAAGCAGCAACTAGCGAGAGACGCCGTCAATGCCGTATCTGCATGTTCAGGGAGTGCTGGCTGGCAGCGATGAGTTGCAAGCCCACCCTTACTTCGGAACCATCGGCAGCAACACACACACACACACACACACACACACACACACACACACACACACACACACACACACACACACACACACACACATCTCTTCATCAGGCGACCAGCTAGTCATGGATGGTAGTCTTTGACGTTACAAAAATAACTTAGTTTTACTCAAGAAAACGACCCAAGCAACAAGATAAGAAGATGAAGCACACATAGACATGACAATGACACTCGACACTGAAAATCGCAAATCCTAAAAATAATAAAATAATCCGCGAATAAAAGAAGCTAGCCAAAATGAGCAAAAAAGACCAGACTATACTGAACTAAAACTAAAGCAAGAGAAATGAAAGGAGCATTCACATCACCACAATAAAAGAAGACGAGAGAGAGAGAGAGAGAGAGAGAGAGAGAGAGAGAGAGAGAGAGAGAGAGAGAGAGAGAGAGAGAGAGAGAGAGAGAGAGAGAGCGAGAGAGAGATAGAGAGAGAAAGAGAGAGAGGATCAAGATCAACAGTATGGGGTAGGAAAATAAAAGCTGAGGAAACCAAATAAGAAGCAATGGTGCTAAAGGAACAAGATACGAGGAAGTAAGAACGTCGCAAAAGACGCTAATTAAGTGAAAATCTTTAGTTATCTCAAAGAGCGGTATTACTGACAAGTGTGCGTGTGTGTGTGTGTGTGTGTGTGTGAGAGAGAGGGAGAGAGAGAGAGAGAGAGAGAGAGAGAGAGAGAGAGAGAGAGAGAGAGAGAGAGAGAGAGATAGAAAGACAGTGAGACAAGATAGGGATGCAAGGAAAGGAGAATATAACCCGGCATAACATGGAAATATCTCCACATTGGGAAACGAAAGCAAGAAGATCAAGGCAGTACGAAACTAAACCGATGCTCATTTCATTAGGGTGTCGATCACTAACTGAACCGGTAAAATAATTCAGAATGTCGTTACCAAGTGGTGAAAAGAAACCTGCACTCGAAAAGCTGCAACAGCTTAGACAACAGTGTTAGCATGGGACGTAGCTCTCAGGCAGTTTGGTATCCATTGCCAATGACAATGTGTAGTAGCGATGGATGAAGACAGATAGCCTGGCAGGCTTTTAGTGCATGGTATTAAAAAGATAGTGAGTCACAGAGAGAGGGCGCAAGACAGAATGAGAGAGAGAGAGAGAGAGAGAGAGAGAGAGAGAGAGAGAGAGAGAGAGAGAGAGAGAGAGAGAGACAGACAGAGGGGGAGAGGCCAGCTGCAACAGGAGATCAGTCCCAGTCAGGATCGTAGGCCACTTGAGAGTACTCGCCACTGTCCTTGAACGGACTGTCGCCATTGTGCAACAGCTGCTTGGACGACGATGATGATGACGTCGCTGGAGCCATTGCCATGCCTAGTTTGGAGATGTTGTTGCAGTACCTGAAGGCATACACGCAACAAGACATAACGCAAGGTGAGTTACGCAAGACGGCACAGACAAACTGCAGTGCTGCTCAATGAAATCCGGTTGCGTGAGTCAAGTTGGAGTCTACAGTACTGTTGAGCGCCGAAGAACTGGGGGTCAGGGTTCAAGCCTAGCCCGTTCTTATTTTTAATTCGGCTATTTTCAAGATAATCATTTCCAGCGTTAGGTGGTGATGGCCCCCGTCTTCTGGGATGCTGGCGTGGCTAAGCTGCAGTGCTGTCCCAGGAACTCTTCTGAGGTGAGGCAATGTTGGCTTGATGGAGTTTTGTTCGTAGCTTGTTCGTGGATGCTGTGGCATGGCTCGTTTGTAGACCCATAAATCATAATGATTGTTCCACCATTTTGGAGGGTATGCCAATTTCAAGGGCTTTTGCACAGTCGATCTACACCCCAAAGGAAAAATACCTACAAAATGTTAGCAAAATCGGAGAGATCGACTTGCACACCCAGTGCACACACACACACACACACACACACACACACACACACACACACACACACACACACAACAGCAGCATAGAGCAACGGCCACACACCAGTTGTCGAACGGATGACCCGCTTCCGCCTCCTCCTCGTCATCGTCACCATCGTTATCATCATCTCGATCGGCTAGGCCCTGCTGCCGCCTGGCCAACAACCTGACAGCCCGGGACCTGTACTGCGAGCGCGGTGGATGGTACAGTGACTCCTCGTCACTGCTGAGACACGGCGCAGGCTGTGCTTGGTGATAGCCGTAGCCACCATCATCACCACAGCCACCGTCATCCTCTACCGCCATGCTGTCCTCGTCTGGGTAGTCGTTGCGCCAGTTGTCCTCATCTGTAACCACGCACAACACACAAACAGTTACAGCAAAACCTGTCAAGGCAACCGCTCTGATAAGGCGACCTACAGTCACAGCAAAACCTGTCAAGGCAACCGCTCTGATAAGGCGACCTACAGTCACAGCAAAACCTGTCAAGGCAACCACCTGTCCCAGAAGACCACTGCAACCAAGACCAAAGCATGTCAAACGATCCTGGATAAGGAGACCAACTGGTAACAGAGACCACGCTGCAAATAACTCCAAACAGAGAACCCGCTTCAGGCTCCTCACAATCAACAGCCTCTCTTTTCTAGAGTAATACACACGTGCATAGACGTATTTATACAAATCGATGTGCGCAACATCTCATGCCATATGTATAAGACACACACACACACATCTGCCCGTCGTTCGATCCCTCTGTCCGTCCGCGCTCACCTCCCTCGATCGCTCACTCACCATTCGAGTCATCTTCATCTTCGTACGGCTCTGGGTCGTCGCTACCGATGTCGAACACCAGATCCGGGGTGTACGGCTCTATCGACACACTGCAAAGTGCACGCGGCAGTGCACAGCAACACACAAAGGACACACGAGAATGGAACACAGCACATTTGCTAGCACATTAATGTTACTTGAGTAGAAAGTGCATTGACGTACTGTTGTAGACATTGAAATCCGCTGAGGAGACAAGTGGCCACGGGACACCGGCCTTGCAGCCATGAGCACTGCTGGCCCAATTTAGCAGTGTGTATGTGAGCTACAGTGTGCGTGTACGTGCATGATGCAGTAAGGGTGCTGACCACGGCCATTGCACCGGATTTCAACGTCCACAACAGTACATGCATACATGTACGAAGTAGACTTGTACGGATACTAGCAAGAGTACATAACCCCCCAGAGTGTGCAACGCCTGATCCAGCTCTGCATAGGGTCTTGGTCGAGCGTAATCGGATCTTTGCGTCATAATACCGTACACATTTGAGGGGAACCCAGGGAGTCGCGGGTACTCTCGGATCAAAAACAACGGTGACCTGCCTCGAGACCGGCCTTGCGCTGGTGTGAAGTGAACGCATGACATCAGAAGATCCGACTACGCTCGACCAAGACCCTATGCAGAGATGGCTCGGCGTTGCACACTGGGGGGTTATGTACTCTTGATATTATCTACTATGATGACAGTTCACAGGTAAAGACAAAAAATGCAACATTTTTTTAATATGAACAACAGGTGAATCGGAGACAGGCACGGTGCATCCGTACATTGCAGTAACGCACATAAATTTATATGTTTTACAGTTTGCCTATGAATCGATTCATGAATGGAATCTGGTGCTTTCAAGTCGTTCGATTTTCATGTCATGAGCCCTGGAATCGGTTCGAAATCTATTCACCCTATTCGCATGGGGTGATGTGAATAGCGAGGGGCGAGTCATGAATGGACTGAACATTGATTCGTGGGCAAAATCGCACGCACCCACTGTGCCAAAGCTAAAAGAAGGGCACGCCTGCTCTTACCGATCACTGATGTCTGACAGGCTATCCTCGGCGTAGTACAGGTCGTACACATAGGATTCACCGGACGATGCCATGCCGGGCGTCACCCCTGTCGAGAAAAACATACACACACACACACACACACACACACACATGCGCACACAAAGAGAATTTAGAAACACGCTGACACCAGAATTCATGGATTCTACGGAACTGTTCGAATTGGAGAAGAGGCGCATTCGTCAACTGGCAGACACTCCATATACGTTTCTATTCGCATCTTCTCAAAACAATGAGCAGATACGTGCACTTCCAATCAACACATATCAATTACTTTTTATAAAATTAAAGTTTCAACGAGCTGCGGACAAGCCGCCATCTATCAGAGTTCATCAACATGTGGCCGCAAGTTCCAAAAGAATCCAGGACCTGAATGCAAAACAACAATATCTGGTCACCGGGGGCGCAGCTCGCACATCTGTGGTCTGGTAACCATGTACCTAAGGCAACCTCATAGCCGCCATTTTGCCCATTTCGACTATAATAATAATAATAATATCTTTATTAGGATGACCCAGAGGCTTGTCGCCTATCAAGGGGTTCACCGCTTTGAAGGGTGTACATGTACATGTACATGTATGAGCTAAAGTGAAAGTAGTGAAAAGTTGTGCAGCGTGAATGCGTTGGGGAGCACACAGGGGGGGAGGGGTTATGTACATGGCGTGGGCATACCGGAGAGCGAAGCACTATGTTTGCAAGGGAGTATCTATGCAATACCAATGACAGCCCATTCGCTGGTGTGGTGACCATGTACCTAAACCTAAGGCAACCTCATAGCCGTGGTCATTTTGCCCATTTCGACTATGCAATACCAATGACAGCCCATTTGCTGGGGTGGTGATCAGACTACAGGGCATAGATTAACGGCCGGACATCGGACATTTTCCGGCCATTTTCGGCCACTGACCGGACGTTTTCAATTTCACCGGACATAGTGTCTGGTCAAAAAGGAAAAAAAGAGCAGCGACCTTTCGATCTTTTTATGCAGAGTTGGGCTTTCTTCGGAGCTTCGTGCCAAATGCGACTTGCATATCGTACAACTAACACGTCTACACCGTAGCCTCGATCCCTCAAGAGTAGACTTCACCATAATCCGCCTGTAGCAACGCGGTTGCTACAGTCAATTCACACTTTCGACCTTTGGGCTTTGGTACATGCATGGTGTCGACTTCGCACCTGAATCTATGGGTTGAACTGCAGTGCAGTTGTTCGCTCTTGAGAGGAAGATGTCATCTTTTATTTTTCACTCTTTCACTGACCAGATAGTCTTTTAGAATGTCTTCTGGAAAGCGAAAGGGAGATTCAGAGGACTTGCCGCCGGGCAAAAAAGTCCGTGGTGTGAAGGCCGCTACTTTTGATAAGTGGATCTCGGACAATGATGCAGAGCTGACTCCTTCTGCCTGGCTGATTTATGACCGGCAGAAGAACGATCGGCTGTTAGCAGAATGTTTGAAGTGTTCCGTGTGCATCAAGTTTGTAGGCAGAGTCCGCAGTTGTAAAAACTTCAGCGAGGCTTTCATAACCGGATCCAAGAACCTGAGAACATCAGCGTTCAAGGATCATGCTGGAACGGAGATGCATAAACGAGGAATGAATCTTTTCCGCAGGCAAGAGTGTCCCGCTCGAAATGCCCTCGAATTCGGTCCAATTGCGAAGGCACTGTGCGAGATGGACGATGGTGCTGCCGCTATTGCACGACGCAAATTCGAACTGACTTACCTTCTCTGCAAGGAGCATATCGCGTTCGCAAAATTCTTGACTACAACGCTTTCTTGTACATACATTTGTCGTCAGTAAATAGTTCAGTTTCTAATACAAATAAATTGGCGAATTGTACATAGTAATGTGTGAGATACGTCCACATAAATGAGTCATTGTGAATATACTTCAGTACTACTAAAAAAAAGAAACACCCTGAAAATGTGTTGTGGAAAATGTCCGGGCATGTCCGGACAGATTTCAAAACGGAAGGACATTTGTCCGAGCTAAATGAAATCCTTAAGCTATGCCCTGGACTACACTGACTACTGTAAGTCAACAACTTTTCGGCACATATTTACTTTCGGCTATTTTTCAGCCTGGTCGTATTCGGCCGAAAATCTGTTGCGGTCGAAATTTTGTTTCGCAAGGTTCCGTGTGACAGCGTATACAGGCCGCAGCAGTACAGGCCGAAAATTGAATGCGGCCGAAATGTGTTTTAGCCCTGGGAGGCTGAAATTTGAATGGGCCGAACATTTGTACACTTACAGTATACACGAGCTACTAGTACTTGCCTGCGGTCACCTCTGCTTACCGTTATTTCGTATACTGAGGTTTTCTCGTAGCAGGCGAGTCGCATTGCAGACGATATCATCGGATCGACTGCGAGGACTGCTCGTCGTGCTGTCCCGTGCAGCTGGAGGCGATCTGAAGCAGACAGAAAAGCAATGCAATGCAGGCCTAACATTAGAGAGTGGTCTCACATCTATCACATGACCATACAGGAAAGCCATGTTGGCCGTTCCAACTCCAGTCAATCCCCGCATCCATGGTCACGTAATGT